CTTATATATAAGCGTATATTATTGTATTTAATTTTATTTAGAGCATAGAGCATCATATTCTCTTTCTCCAGCTGTCTGCTTGTTGACCGTACGGACAAATTTTCAACAATTTTCCGCCTAGCAAGTGCTAGTCTCCCACTCTGCTGCCTCGTTAGGCGGCAGCGTCGGCTACGGCGGCTTCAATAATTGAGCAATTATTCATTCAAATGGATTGCCAATTTCGCTGGCCAGCCTACCAATGCAGGACGGGCCGGCCCCAATGCCAGAGCCAATTTAGCAACATCGCATCGCATCGAACTGCAATTGCGATTGCAATTATAAAACAATCACTTGTCCGGCTAGGCGGCTCCCGGTCGCCACCTTAACGGCTGCCCATTATTTTGGGGCGGCGTCCACGCAAATTGTGCTTACTTAATAAGTCGTACAACCTGCTAATGTGAGCAATTTACCAAAGGAACGCGCTGCGCCGGGCACATGCACATGCACTGGGTCCGGTCTCGCCTGGCCCGGCCTGGCCTGCCCTGGTCTAAACTGCGGGCCGTCCTCGCGCATGCGCAACGCGATTGCAATCAGCAGCCGGACCAGAAGCCAGTAGCCAGGGACAGGGACAGGGACAGGGACCCAGACGTGGCCAAGACCAATCGCTGACTGGGTGTGTGAGTGCGCACAATGAAAAGGTGCGAGCTTAAAGAATTTATGGGCCAGCTTGAGACGTCGATAAGCCGGCAGAGTATTCGCAGCAGCCAGAGCAGCGACAGCAGCCGCAGCAGCACGAAAAACAAAGTCGAATGGACAGCGCACCTAATTATTATAAATAAACCAATCGAACAATAAAGATCTGCTGGCCAACTTTCCACGAACTGTGCCCAGTTGCCCATAAGAACTTAATCGCAAATGAGATTCAGAGCTGGTCATGGAGCTGCAGCCGAGGCCGGAGCTCAGACCGAGACTGGCAACGCCATCGATAACACAATCGATGATGAGGCCGCTGCAATTGCCCCAAAAAGAGTCTGCCTAACAAGCGCTTGCCACGGTGACGAGGCAGCGGTCCACTGGATTAATCGCTGACATGGGCCATGGACTCCAGCTCCGAACAGAGTCCGCGATAAAGCGCTGACGTAGTTAAACATATTGTAATTGCTGGGCTGCGATCTGCTGCTGCTGCTGCTGCTGCGGCTGCTGCTGCTGTCGTTTGCCAAAACGGGTTTCGCGGAGTTTCGTGGAGCTCGAGCTGAAACAGGGGCCTGTAGCACAGCCTGGTCATTGTTTGCCCTGCCCGCTGTATCGCTGGCTTAGCATCAGATTACCACTCTATGTGCAGACAAAGGCGCAGCAGCACGGCAATCAATAAGTGGAAGGCGTCGCGACGTTGTCGTCGTCCTCGTTCTTTCGGCCTTTGATTTTTGTGGATCAGCCTCTGCAGCTACTGCAGCCTCTGCAGCACAGTAGCCGTTCGATAATTTGCTACGGCATTCCAAGTGTATGTCTCCTTATCCCGCATGTCAATCAAGCTCCTAATTATTCTTTGAATGCAAAAGATAATTGGCGTTTCGGGTGCCACGGCCGACGATATCAATTTCAATATACAACAATAACATACGAGAGCGCACGATCCCAAGGACATGTGACAGTTTTGTGGCAATTATGACAAACAATAAGACCCTGTGGAGCTGTAGCAGCCACATCGCTGCCGGATGCTTAATCAACACAACTAAAATCCAATTAAGTCCAGACACTAAAAGCTAACAAGAATGATATACCAACACGATTTTATACCTTATATAATTATGAATATTAAAACTTAGCGACCAAACCATTTCGTCCAAAACTGATTACAAAATAAACCGCCAATAATAGAAAAATAAGAAAATGAAAACAATTGTGAGCGCTCTATACAGGAGAGCAAGAGAAATTCATTCCCTGACGGCATTTCCCTATCGACTTGATTATTGACGCTGAGCCGGAATACCTACTCCTTGGGTCGGAGAAGCTTCCGCCTGCCTGTGACACAAATTAGCTTTGGATCATAATGTAAAGGAAGGCTAAAATGTTCTAATTGGAAATATATCATTTCCAAGATTTAGTGCTTAGAATAAGTAGTTTAGTAAATATTCACATAAGTTTAATTAAATTTGTTTCGAAAAAATGTAACAAAAATTATTGCTTTATTAAGGATTAATAATTAATAAAAATATAGTTGTAATTTTCCAAATAACCATTATTATATATATATTTTATGGGTGAATAGAGCATGTTGTCAAAACATGTGTTCTCTTAAATAAGGCTTATATTTTTTTAATCCATTTGAATGTTGTTACAAAGAAAACTAGTTATATATATTCTTGTGATTTATTTTTTAAGTAAATCAAATAATGTGTTCTTTTTCTTGCTAGTTTTAGATCTTGATAATTGAAAAATAATTTACATTGAACTTGCCTAATTTCCATGATTATTTCACTTCTAAATTAACTTATTTTTAAGACATGCCCTATAATCTGACGGCTCTCCCCATATACTCATTCATTCACTCTGTTGACTCAAGCTACTTAAGCTTGTCAATTTAAAGCCTTTCAAGCGTACTCGTGCGCACATTAATATTCAAGCACAAACATAATCATAAAGCTAATATACCAACAGCCAAAGCAGAGCATCCACTGGAAAGCTGGAGCAGCAGCCACGGAAGCAGCAGTGTGAGCGGCAGCTAATTCATTTGGCGTCCCAGCAGGTTGCCAGTCGTCGGGCTATCTATGAGTGGTAATCATGCTGGGAACGCGTTGCACTGGTTCACATTCACATGCGCATATGGTTCGAGGTGTGTATGTGTGTGTGTGTGCGTGCGTGTTTGTGTATGTCCTAGTCCTGGCAATTCGGCGAAGTGCAGTCGGCGATCACAGCACATAGCTTAAAGTGTAATGAAATCACACATAGACAGGCCCAGAGCGATATAGATAGAATAGTGATAGTTGTTGGATGGGGAGGAGAGAGCCGGAAAGACAGGAGGAGGGGCACGATCGACACTTTGTACGTTACTTTTGCAGTTGTGTAAAACGATTGGCGCGTTAATCAACGTACAAATTTCCTACTTATATGGCTTGCGAATTAAATCGTTCCCTCGAGATCAGTGGCTGGCTCTCGCTGGCTGGCTGGCTGGCTGGCTGGCCAAGTTGCCAGCTATTGACAGCTGGCGATTAGAACTAGAGCGATAAATTATACAATTGCCATGCGTGAGACCTGAGCGTTGGCCAGTTTCAGACAAAGACCGAGGAACAGGTCCCCAGCTCATCGCCTCTGACAATTACACTGATTATATTAAATATATGAGGCCCATATATGGGACACAGCCATGCTGCCATGGGAGTGTTAACTGTTTGCCTGCATTGCCATAAGGAAAATCAAATTTGCTGTAATGCAATTTGCTGCCCCGCAAACTATGCTGCAAAACACAAACGAAAACTATGCAAATTACCCTCGGTTACCTGGGCACCCGGTCGAAAATAACAAAAAAATATATATACACACCCGGCATTTTTGTTTGTTACTGTTGAGAAACGAAAAATCAATTAAGTTAGAGCTGAACCTTTTGAGCTAAGCACTAAACAATTGCGCATAATTACTAGCGGGGTCCAACTGCATTGCCTCAATTTGTGCATTTGCATACAAGTGGGCAACAATAACAAAAACAACAACATGAACAGCAATTCAAATTTTAAATGGAAAAAGTTACTGACCCCACCAGCGAGCAAATACACCCAGTGCACACTCGCTTTCAGACGGTTTTCTTTGAATAAATTCTAACTATTTAGACCTGAGCTAGGTAAATTCCACATAATACAGGATTGAGGAATGACGGGTGCCCAGTCACATAAGGCGTCAGCTTGTCCCGGGGTATTATTTTTTATGTGAATTAATCTCGTTCTCATTCTATGAATAAACGGGTATATAAATAATTAGTAGTAAATAATAATAGCTAGCATAAAGTAATCTGATTTTAGATAGGGAAGGCAAGACAGGGGGTTTTGAGAAATTCCAGACTCAAACGTGAAAAAACCGTGAAAAGTTTTGTACCAACGTTTTTTGCTTATCAAACTTGAAACACATTTTTCAAAATCTTTGTGAAAATACCTCTGCTGTGTGTTTCACAGTTTTCGTAAAGTGTATTGCTCTTGGATGGAAAATGCGGGTTAAAGATTGTATCATCGAAAGTAAATTTTTAGTTATATGAAATATAACTTCAGTCGAAATGCTTGAGATAGTACGGGTAAATTTAAATTTTCCATTGTAGGGAAATTGGTTGAAAATTGATATTTAAGATAAGAGAGAAAGTGATCATTAGTTGAAATCATGAGAATTGCATGGAAAGGCGATATTTAAAATGGACATCGAATGAGAGACCACAATTAAAAGCGCATGAGATAAGTTCTGCAGTTACCTCTTTAAATTATTGTTTTTCTATCGATGTTTCATAATTCAAATATTATAAAATGATTTTCCACTCACTGGGAGCAAAAAAAATTCATGACAAATATAAGTATGAAGCTATGAAGCTGTTCGATTTATATATAAGGTTTAACTTTTTTATATTTAGCTTGTTTATAAGTACAGACTATAATTTTTAATTATAAACGAAGGCATCCATTTATTCTTTCATGGAATATTGTAAAGCCTTTTAAAGAACTTTAAAGTTTCATGCTGTAAGCTTAAAATAAACTTCGCTTAAAATCCACAATAAATAATACACATTCTTTTGTTTACATATGGCCAGTTTATACGTTTGCATTTCTATCGATGCATGCGCATAGAATTGTTGAGAAAGAATGCTTTGCATAAGTTATAATAAAAGGCCAGTTTATGGCGAGTCCTTAAGAATGTAAAGGGCACATACGGGCTAAAGTTGTGGAGCACCTAAAGTGCTCAAAAAGTTGTCTATATGGTTTTGCAGTAGGCGACGCATAAGTAATAATTTATTTTTTCAAAAAGGTTTTGTATAAATTTTAAGTACTAACAAAAAATACCGCATGAAAGAGCTGTGAAAGTGTTGCTGCTATTGCTTGTGTTTCTTACTGCCTTGCATGATAATTTTTGAAAAAATTACTGCGTGCGCGCCAAATTATACAATCAGCTGATTACCAGTCTGGCAACTCCATATTACTTGTCAGCAGTGATGCAAATTGCTGAATAGCTATCGATATTACTATCGATGCGAGTACTGGTATCGAAAGAAACGCTCACGAGCCCCACGAAAGAAGCAAAGCAGAGAAAAAACAAAAATCCCAATTCAATTGTGAAAAAATTTTACGCTCACGCTTAACTCGATGCTTTTGAGATAGAAAACAATAGTAAGCAGTGCGCCAGATCGAAGTGAGACTTAAAGAACCTAGTTTAGTGCAATCGATCTAAATCCTCGACGTTTACCTTTACCACTGTTGCCGCACCCCTCCCTCCAATCAAATATAATTTTGACGCACACCACAACGTACAATAACACTTGCACACGATTCTTTTCGCTTTTGCGAAATCTAAGACGAAGGCCAACGCCAGCCGATTAACCAAGCAGTCGAGCAAGCAACCAAAACACAACCCACAAAACACGACAACAACGACAACCATTAAAATAATAACAACAACAAAAATAACAAATGCGTGCGACGCTCAAAAGTTGATGTAGATTAAGTGAATCGCAAGCAACAGCAAACGCATTTTGCAAAGTCACGCCGCGTCAGCTATAGTTACAGCTTTGCCATGTCCATCCGGACGCAGGTGCTCGGCCTGGTGGACGTCATGATGCGTGTGCCGCCCATCATGGTCATCGATGAGATACTCAAAATTGGCATGGGCGTCCCCAGCCAGCTCAGTTCGGGTAAAGGTTACACCATGGAGACAACAACCTCAACAACAAAAGCTGCGCCGCAAGAAGCCAGCAACAGCACAGACACCTTAGCCAACATCAAAGCATTCTTTGGTATGGGCAGCGAAGATTCAGCCACCAGCTCTATCGGCAACCGCAGTCAAGATATACTGGAACACACCATAGAAAATGCATCCAAATCAGCGCAAGCCGGCGGAATGCTCAGCAGCAATTTCAACAGCCTAATGGACGAGCTGGCCAACGATAGCATGCTAGGCAATATACTTAATATAACGACGGTGAAGTTCGTCGTCTGTTTACTAGGTGAGTGAGCTAACTGGGGGCCATTTACCGCTACTGTGACTTGATTGTACTTTAAACCTTGTCCGGAATTTGCAGGTTTCTTATGCGCCGCTTGCATTTTCATGTTATGGACGCGGCATTTAGTGATGGTGTACATGTTTCTTACCTCGCTGGGACTCACATTTCTCTCCTACTGGTCCAATGTGAGCGCACTAGAGCTAATGGAGCAAAGTCCGAGCATACTGGAAGATTTATTGTCCTTGAATACGACCAGACTGCTGGATTCGGGCGGAATCGTCATGGCGCTAGCGCCACATATCATCGCCCAATGGTTCATGGGCATGCTCTTTGCCTATATACATTTAGGCCCTCGTTATGCGCTGCTCCAACGGTCCATGCCTATCATTTTTACTAGTCCAATTCTGCTTGCCATGTTGCCTCTTTCATCGAGCATAGTGGACAAACTGCCCGTGATCGCGGGTCTCACGCCCATCATACTGACTAAAATCACGCTTATGCTGAGTGCCATGGACGCTAGCAGAACGGTTTACAATGGTTACCAATATGCCGTGAATTTCGTATCCAACTTTGGACTTTCGGCTCTCATTGAGAACGAGTGGCAGCGTCTAAATGTGCCCAACGTCTTGCGTCTGTTTTGGATCATTAGGTATGTAGCTTAAAATTACACATCACACAAGCAATTTATAATTTTACTTGACCCATTAAAAATGGGTAAGAGGGGTATTATGTATTTGTCCAAATGTATGGAACAGGCAGAAGGAAGCATATCCAATCCTATAAATTATATAAATTCTTGATCACCATCAATAGCCGACTCGATCTAGCCATGTCCGTCCGTATGTGTGAACGCTGCCCAATACTATAAGCCATTTTTAATGCAATTAACTCTGAGAATATACAAATATTCCACAAGACCATAAGATCTACTATTGAATATTTCATGAAGATCGGTTAAGAAGCACAGTAGTTATTGAAGAAAGCGTGTTTTGGCCACGAGTTTTGGGTAACAAGCGCAAATTGCAAGAATTTCTGTGTAGATGTACACACACATTGTTTTCTGTGCTGCTATTTTAATCCGTTTTTTTCTCATTACGACTCAGTTATTGGTTGAGTAGTTGGGTAGATGCGGCGGCAAGTAATGCGGTTTGGTGAAAGTTCGAACCTGTCTGAGGGAACTATTTTTTTTAATTTGATTTTTATTACTACTTAAGCAAAGGAGCGGGTGGCGCGAGCTCCATTTGGTGTTGGGTTTTCTCTAGTCAGGAGCTCCCGACTATAACCTCTTACTTGTTTATTGTATATAAGGCAAATATACAGGCAAATTTACTGTCAAATCGTTATATTTGCTTCATTATATTTATATCAAAATATTACCGAATTTTTCGGGATGACTAAAAAATATTATTTAACACACTGGCTACGGTATAGTAGTTGTTATCTCACATCGTCACATCGTTTAATTAATATCTAAAACTGTTTTCCTGACTGAACTGACTGATTAACTGACGCACAGTCCAAACCGAAAGAGCTTGAAAGTGGAAATCATCATTGAAGCTACCTAAAAAAAAAATGTCATACATTTTTTCATAATCATCCGAACAGCCTCAAACTCATTTTGTAATATCTTTATCAAAATTATTATCAAAGTTGCATGTTACAGCTTTCTTTACTAACTAGGCATGGCATGCAATAATCTATGTCTTCAATAGGCGGGAGATAGTTAAAAAGTTGTCTAAAATTTGAAGCAAACGCTTGCCGCGATTTGGTCATGATATAAAATACAGTTAAAATATGTTAATTGATGAAAATGTTTTCAAAAGCATTAAACTGCATTTGAGTATATGTATATACTGAGCGTTTCTATGAATGCTATACATAAGATATAGTTGTGTTATGTTCGTGAGATTTTGCTCAGGATGTACCGAGAACGCGTTTGCGCAAAAACAAGACAGCGCGGATAAGCGGCTGATCGTGTAAACATGTACCTTATGAAGAGTCAGTCACATTTTGTTTCTTAGGTTATCAACAATCATAATAAAACAAACATTTCAGCCAAGTTCTCAAAATAATAACTCAATTGTTACCATTTTTTATGCTTTTTAATATCAGTGATTATTCTCATTAAAATCGTATCTACAGAATTATGCAGGGCGGCTATGCCTTGCTGACTGTCGAATCGGATGTGCCTTTGCAGCTGTTTCCGGCCATCGAGAAGCTGCTCGTTGATGGTTGTGAAACTTTGACCGCTGTGCTGGGCATGACTGGTGTCATCTCGATGATATGCCACTATATAGGACGCGGCTTTCAGTGGTATCTGCTGACCTATGACAATGACGAAGAGAAGTCGCTGGGCACAGTTTCGGCGGTGCTGTTTTACATATTAGCACTACAAACTGGCCTCACATCATTGGCGCCCGATAGGCGTTTTGTGCGCTTATGTCGCAATCTATGCCTTCTGGTCACAGCGCTACTGCACTTCCTTCACAACATTGTTTCACCCATATTGATGTCGTTGAGCGCGGCGCGGAATCCTTCACGTAAGCGTCACGTGCGCGCTTTATCTGTTTGCGCCTTTCTCATATTAATGCCAGTCGGGCTGCTTTACTACTTGTGGGCGCAGCATTCGCCCTCTACTTGGCTGCTGGCGGTGACTGCCTTCTCCGTGGAGGTCATTATCAAGGTTGGTCATTATCAATGTGTTACATTCAACCGACATATTCCTAAGACTAATATGCTCTGTATGACAGGTGCTCGTTTCGCTGGCCACATATACGCTCTTTTTACTAGACGCCCGTCGCCAGTTCTTTTGGGAAAAACTAGATGACTATCTATACTATGTGCGTGCCTTCGGCAATGCCGTAGAGTTCTGTTTTGGCATCTTGCTATTTGTTAATGGTGCCTGGATCTTGGTCTTTGAATCGGGTAAGTGTTCTTTAGTGTTGGCCTCGTCGTCAAATTACATCAACACATCAGTGACATAAAGCATTCAAATTAATATTTGCGTAAATCTCGAATCATTATATAAGTTCATCTTGTGAGTTGTGCGTGCTCCTGTCCAGCTTTTTTGTTCCGTGTGCATGTAATTTTATTATTTGGTTGATTTTGTGTATCGATGACTATAACTTGATAGCCCAAAATGCTACAGGCGGCGCCATTAGGGCGATCATGATGTGCATTCATGCCTACTTCAATATCTGGTGCGAGGCACGCGCTGGCTGGTCGGTGTTCATGAAGAGGCGCTCTGCGGTCCACAAGATATCAGCATTGCCGGAAGCGACTCCTGCTCAGCTGCAGGCCTTTGATGATGTATGCGCCATCTGTTATCAGGTGAGTTCATCAGTTTTGATAATCTTTTTCTTTTAATATATAATAAGCTTTCGTACACATTTAATTATTTTCAGGAAATGTACTCGGCTAAGATAACGCGATGCCGTCACTTTTTCCATGGAGTTTGCCTGCGCAAGTGGCTCTATGTACAGGATCGCTGTCCGCTGTGTCACGAAATAATGATGTACACTGACAAAGCTGAGGAGAACGCACAAGATGCCGATCCAGCAGCTCCAGCTCAAGCTGAACAGCCTATTCGTATATATCCAAGAGAAGTAAGTAGAAATTTCTTAGTGGCGCGAGCTGCATTTGGTGTTTGAATAAGAGGGTTTGGGGTATCTCCTTGACGGAAGCTCCCGACTGGAGCCTCTATATTTTTGAATTTTGTATAATTGTTTACAAGCTTATAATATTTTGGCTTGTTCACAGGACGCAAACAATGCTGGAGTGCCGCGCCGCTCACCCGAACGCGGTGCAGAAGCAGCTCCAGAAGAGGGCGTAGCACCGGTCAATGCTGCCGCTGCCTTGGCCAATATTGATAATGCTATAGCCAATTTGGCGAGCGAGGCGGCCGCAATTGCAGCAGAGACCCGAGCCGCTGTAGCCAGCAGTGCAAGCAGTAGCAGCAGCAACAGTAATGCGAGCTATATCACAGCGTCGGCTCAACCGCCTCCATCGACGGCAAATTCGGCGGCCGCTGTTGCTACCGCTGCGGCCAGCAATACGACGCACATATTTCGGTTGTCACAGGAACAGCAATGAATTGTACCGCTATATTTAATCTTAATCAAACCAGATGTAAACTGTTCTATGTGTTAGTGTACTTATGTAAAAATGCGAAACTCCTAAGCAAAATTATTATCTGCCTATTCGAACGTTTCGGGAGACCCATTCCTATAAACGCCAATACCTGATTCATTCATGTGCACGCACTCCCCAACTCACATTCATACGTATTCATATACACGCAGACATCCAAAAGCACGTTCAGTTGTTTGGCTTCGATTCCACACTAAATTAAATTATATCATGCATATAAGTACATACCTAACTATATATGTGAGGGCGCTGAACGAAACGTGAATTCAATCAGAGATCTTTGTACATTAAGCTTACGGTAAAAAGTTGACCCAAAAATGTTGAAAAAGGTTAGTTTTAAGTTTACAGTGAAATGGTGTTACAAAACAACAACAAAAAAAACCATTAGCAGAAAAATAAATGCGGTGAAGTCTGAAAATGATTTAATCAAGTACCAAGTAAAAAAACAAACAAAACTAGTTAACAAATCGCAAGATAATTTTGTAATTTACAAGAAATTAAAATTAGCAAATCTTACACTCTTACTTATTAATATATATAATTTAATTAAATGAAGAAAAAAATGAGAAGAAAATACAGTACAATATGGAAGCAATAAGCGATTGCGTCGGATTTTGACTAGACAACAATATTTGTAAAAGTTTTGGCCTGGCCTACGAATCTAGCCACTGGATTCATAGTTTATTTAAACATCTTACATTTTGTTTACTTTTATTTTATTTTTTTTTTTTGAGAAAGCAACGCAATTCAAAAAGTGGCTTATTGGATGAAAACTTCTAAGGCAGCTTATGTATAAAAGTCAGCGATTTGTATCAAATTTGTATATAGAACAGATGCATATGTAACATGTCAAGTATTTTGTATTGCAGCATGCTATCTAAAATACAGATTGCCTTAAACCAAACAAATTTTGTCTTAACTGTGCGTTCTAAACATATGCGCACCTATTGTTTTTTGGGATATTTGCTCGCTCTCTGTTCCAGTTCCGTATGGAATATAAGGATACAACAACAGTTTAACGTAAAACATTTATTTCGATGCGCCACTCGCTATTTAGTTGAAAACCAAGTCGTTATAATTGCGCAACAAGTGATATGGCGAGACACGACAGCAAGTGGTGGTGCGCACCACCGTGATACGGTCGGCGCGTTCAAAGTTGGCCTTCACTGTTTCATAATAACGACCATCGCTGTAAAGGCATTCGGAAGCAAGATTCTTGAAAACATATAAGGCAGAAATTTAAAGCTAACCTTAAAACCATGCAGCGCAGCTTTAGGCACTTAACGCGCAATATATCAATAGCCTTTTGGCTTTTGTCGGAGAAACGCAAGTTGTCCGGGTCCCAACGCAGCTCCAGACGCTCCAAATTTCCACAGTTGGATGCAATGGTGTCCATCAGCTGATCCACGTGTATATTGACGCCCAGTTTCTCAGCCGTGCCCATAACTATTATTCTGTACGGCAGTCAATTAGTCATCTACTGATCATATGCACCGCCTCTGCTTCGCTCTACTTACTTGCAGTTACCCAACATGGGCAGTATGCTCATCCAGAGCTGATCTGTAATGTGCGGCATGCCAGATAGGCAGCACGCGCTCAGCTGATGGCCATGGCGCTGCAGAAACTTTAGCATGCCTTCGTCTGTTATGTTATCCGAGGAGTCCAAGTCCAAGGAGTTGAGGGATCTGCACGAGTAGATGAGAGTCATAAGGATAAGCAATTATAGGTATTGTTGTATTATATGTGAACCTGGTGTTGCCTTGTTCCATCCACTGCTTCAACACGGTATCATTGAATCCATTGATTTGGCCGGCAGATAGGAACTTAAGATTGGGTATACGCGTTAACATGTCTACCAGGCACTCGCTAGTCAAATCGGTAGCCGTAATGTCCAGCTCTTGTAGCGCGCACTTATCCCATTCCACCTGCATGACAAACTCTGATTTTAAGCTCGTGCCATTCATGAGCAGGCAGGTCAATCGCTTCGAGCGCTGCACCAACGTCTTCAACGTGGATCCTGTGACCTTATTGCAAAAGTTAACAGCCAGGCACTCAAGCTGTATGCAATTGGAGCTGAAGGCATCAATGTGCGAGTCGTCTATAAAATTAATGCCATACAAATTGATGACGCGCAAATTGGGCGTGGCCGATTTGAGTCTGTGCACATTAATGACTTCGTAAATTTCCTCCTCCTCCTCCTCGCACTTTTCATAGGTGCCAACCAAGTGTAGCACCTCCAGACCATTGATAAAATTGTAAATCTTACGCATGAAGCCCTCCATGAAGATCACCTCGGACAAGCAAATGCACATGTAGCGCAGTTTAGTGGGAAACGCCTGCATCTCGCTGAAGTCATGCAATTGCATAGCTGGAGGGACAAAGAAGAGAATATATAAGCTACCATTCGAGTGGCGAGTCTAATCATTTACCTGTGGAGAAGTCCAGCAGCATGTGCGTTAGATTTGGACACTTAGCCGACAGCTCGTGCAGCACCGTGTGCGTGATAAGCTCAATCGGCAGCTCGATGTAGCGCAGCGTCGGTCCAAATCTTACCGAAATTAGAGAGAGCAGCATCTCCAGAGAGCCGACGTGCAGCCCTGAAACCTCCGGTCGCAGCGATACATTCTTCCACAAGCGCGTATCGTAGGCGATCTTACGCCAGCGACGACAGATGCGGGCCAGCCGACAAATCTCCCGATGCGACAGATATGAAAATATGTGCAACAGCACCTTGTCGGGCAGTTTTTCAATCGTCTGCAAGAGAGATGATCATATATATATATATATGTATGTATTTATTAAGCTGATACTGATCAATACACATCAGTCAGCCCGTGGGCTCCTGAATGAAGTAAATACCGTGTCGGCGAAGGGACTACGCATGGTGCCATCGGATAGATACACCTGCGAGGCCTCTACGGCCAGCTGACCCCAAATATCGGTAGAAATATCCATTGTTCTGTATAGTATCGAAAGTATACTATATGCTTTGCTTATATAAAAGAAATATCAGTGCGAGAGATACGCGCGTTGCCGAGCACCTTCAACGTCTGTCTAAATTAGCTGTGGCTACTTGGCGCTACTGTGAGGAATCTCCAAAAAGCCCACTAACATTTGACACACTCGCAGGCAGGCTGGCAGCAAGCTAAAGAGAAAAGCCACCGAGGAGATCCTATTTATAGATGAGCGCTAGTAATGTTTAGAGCAGCCAAAACAACAAAATGCCAAGAATTTCTAGAGCATGTCGTTGCTTTTTGGTGGTCAGAAGAGCGAAAAACTCTGGGCCTGCCGAACAGCTGTTGGGTTGGCCAGTATATATGCCTGGGTCTATACACTCACAACATGTGTACAACCTGAATATATCGTATATTGTATACTAGCTATATGCATCGCATTCTACGCAATCATTTTCATTTTTGTTTTGCTTACTGCATGTTATTTGGGAGGGAGAAAGGTTTACTCGGCGGTACTCACCAGACGCGTCTTGACCACCGCATTGAGATCATCTCGTCCAATGGCCTGGGATGAGGTTTGCGCTGCCAAAACGTTCCAATTATCCATAATGCTTTTTCAATATTTAAATTACTTGGGTGCTATCTGGTTGTTGCGGGACTTGCGCTCTAAGATCTATTGTCTGTACAGAATGTAGTATGTATAGTGAAGCGCCGGTTTGTGTCGGTGTATTTACTGTTTCTATAAGTAGCCAAGGAATTCATTCATCAATTGTATTTATTATGCAAATATTTCATAAGGACTCGATTATTTTCAAAGCTAAGGTATGAGCAATGCTACATGTCTTACTTTCAATTTATGAAATTTGACTTATTTATGGGTCCATCGGGCTCTGCCCGAAACATTTCTCAAATGCCTTTGCAATAGTATTTTGCAATGGAATACTAGAGAAAAAAGATTCATGCAACTCAGTTCTTAAGTAGACTCTTCCAAAAACACGACTTATTGTGCCCAATCGATCAGTCTGTCAGCCAGAAAGTCTTATATTTATAGATTAATTGGATGAATATATTCAGCTAAATAATTCTAGTTTTTATTTTGTAATAATAACTAGATACAAAGAAAAAGAAATCAATTCTATCCTTAGACAAAAATTCTGTTTTCACAATTCTTTAAACTATATGCTATTTCAATATGGGGAAATCGAATTTATATAAATAAAATATTTAATTTGACTTTAGTATAATTTCCTAAGCTTTAATTTAATCTGTAAATTATTAAAAATATGTTATTGTTGAGTATATTCCCCGGTTCTTATACGTATGACTAATTTTACAAGAAGGAAATTTGTTTTTACTAAAAAATATTTATATTTCCTATTGAATGTGGTTTAAAATAACCCTTCATTATCTTCAACTTGGAACGCTCAAACATAGCTTTGAATATAAAAGGGCTATTAACAGGGAAAATTGTAATCATTTACAAGAAGTTATCATTCATAAACACATACAAATGATACCAGTTTCCGGTAGACACACAGAGTCTTTTTATCTTGCAATATAATATAATATTATTTACATAAGATGTTTTTGACTTATTTAAAAAGGGCCCAACTAATGCTAAGATTTTGCTATGACTATCTAAGGGGTTCCAAATTGCAAACATATTTACCCATTTCGTATTAAATATGTTAGTGGTCGTTTTAGTAGAATCTAAAAATGAAACTTTAAGACATATGTAAATTAAACTGAAAGTTTAGATCAAATTCAAGTTTATTGCACTCGCCACATGCCACAGCAATGACATCATTGTCAATGCATTGTTGTGTACAATAAGAATGATGTTCTGTCTTATGTATTACGAAAGTTATGCACAAATTTTGTATAATTTGATCATGTTCTGGGAAAACCAGACAAGATACATACATAGATATGTATGTTATACCTTTTGGGCTATTTATAGGCAATTGTTGGTCTGCAATGAAAATTTCTAGAGGCTGCAATTTTGCAATTTCATGCAATTTCGTAACGCCCACAATTATAAGCACTTTTTATTGGTTAAGTGGCACTTTTGTTTTCACTTTGCCT